ACTCAAGATTATAAGAAACTGACAAAACTCAATAGAAAAGATGAAAAAAGCCTGGCTCTCTAGCGTAGTTGGCTAAACCGGATTGCGCGGTGACCAGGTGACAAACTCCTTGTGGTCCGGGTTCACTCCCGGGGTTGGCAGAAAAGCCACATTTCTTCCAGATTTACGGTATTTACAATGGAATCAAGACCGAAAGGTTGCGATATCCATAATACCGAGCCTAAGGGTTAATAATGCATGGCTTCTGGATACTAAAACAAACAAACAAACAAAAGATGAAAAAATAATGCTAATTTCTTAGCCTGCATAATAATCAAGATAATTAGGACACAGTCAAGGATTCTCTACCAGGCCTTCCTTCAGGCATACTAGGCTTATAGTGCTAGACCTATCTTTTACAGACCAATCAGGGTCCAGTTCATGTTTCCCAGCCCATATACACAAAGGCTGACCTTTTATTCATACTTTCTCAAAGACATCAGCGCCGATGTCGCGTGTTCTATACTACATGACGATACAGCTTTGAACGAGCCCAGAACATCTAGAATTGGCACTAAATCAAACCCCCCTACCTACAGCCTGAGCCTAGGTCACATAAGACTTTTTGAAGGAAGCAGTATAACCTGACACCCCTAGACCTAAATGAGACTGAGAAAGTGTGTAGATGTGTCGGGAAACAAACTAATCCCCAATCGGCATTGGGTGATGTGGTCAACATCTTGCCAGCCATCTTTACTTCCCAGGACTTTATCTGCTACCCATTTAAGGCCGGATCAACCTAGAAGCCAAGGTCATTAAAAAACCCAAAACATTAAGATATACAGGCGAGCATCTAGCCGCTACATCATGACAGCTTCCATAGTGCGGAACCATATTCAGGCCAATGGCGCATCAAGAATCTAGACCCATATATTAAAAACCAACAGGCTTCAACAGGTAAGGGGATCAACTCTACAGCCTTTACTTCCCAGAACAAATCCAGGTACTAATTTTAGTTGACGCAGGAAAATAATAAAAAATTTAGTTCAGCTGCAGATTTGAACACAAGACCTTTGGGCAGGCAAGCAAGTGTCTAGTCATTGAGCTACTGCACCTCCCATGTTAGCAAACACAGGATAAATTAAAGGCATGACTTGACAGAATTGGCTGGAATTTACAGCAAAATCTGGCATCTGTTTTATGACTCACAGTGATAGAGTTTGAAGCTGCCAGTCAGATCACACTACCATTGACCTTTTTGGCCTGAGAACCAAAAATCCTAACCACTTTAACTCTCCGAGTCCCAAGGAACGCATCATACGTTCGTAGGTTCCTACCTAGCAGCCCAATGAACGTATGATGCACCGATTTTATTACTTTCTTTACTACCACCTGGGCCTGTGATGCTAAACCCCCTGGGACACAAAGAGTTAAGTCGTGCCACATCCCCGGTAAATGACGATATATGGCGCATCTTCAGTAACGTGTTCTCAAAAAAAGTGTAGTTAAAATTCCACTGTTCCAATTTGTGCTTGCGCAGTGTTCAACAGGCCAGGAGTTATGGATGTAAGTAAAAAAAAAAAAAAAGTAAAGGACTCTTTCCCACGCCTTTAGGCGTATAGGGCATATAGGGCTAGACCTATATTTTTATAGACCAACGGCACAAGATGGGTGATGTGGTCAGCATCACGCCGGCCGCCTCTACTTCCCGGGATTGCACCCGGTACCCACTCAAGGCTGGGTCGACCTGGGAGCCAAGGTCATTTTTGAAGAAAAGTACGTCTCCACCAGGGAGAGAACGGGTTATGGATGTAGTAACTAAAAAAAACACACATTTAGCATTCAGGGGTGTTTCCTTATGACCCCATTTTTTTCTTCTGAAAGGCAAGTTAAGGTCAAATTTTCTAGTAATCCCCAGCGACAGAGGTCACTGGGTCAAGGCATGAATCCCCCCAAAACACTGTTTATTTTACTCTCAGGAGTGTTTTCTATTTAATGCTCCATGATTTTCATGTTCAGTGATTATTTCTTTATTTACCTTTTTATATTTCAAGGGAAAGAATTAGAATGCAGATAAATTTGTTTAAAATTGATCATAGACTTTGGGAAAAAATGTTTTTAAGAGATTTTGGGGGAAATTTCCACGGCTTCATGACCCAGTTTTATACTGTTATCAGGGCAAGAGAGTTAAAGTGAATAAATGATTGCATCTCCCTGCCATTCTTCCTAGAACATTCTTCTTCTTCATTGCTTTGTTCCCCAATAAGACTTGAGCCCTCAACCAACTCACAATCAGTCATTCTATCGTTTGCCATTGTATGTGTAGCTCACCCCACATCCAAATCCAATGCCATTTAGCAGTATATGTACAGTTCCAGTAGCTCAGCTTATATTTTAAACCAAAAAAAAAAAAACAACAACACCATAAGAAATCATATTTTGCTTCACACATAAACAACAAAAGCTCCTATCTATCGCTGGCGCTGTGCCAAAGTCACCCCAAGTATTTGAATCCTTGTTTCAAGGAAATGGTATTTCTACACCCAGATCTCTATGAAAATTGTAACAGTAGGCAACCGTTAGTCCCTGGAGACCACAGTGTTGTGCAGTTGGTTTTTGGCAATGGCATCTGCTATGACTATAAATTCCAATGCGGGAAATGGCAGTCTCTGTTATACACATAAGAACACAGACAGTCTATCGTTCTGAGGCTAGTTTTTGACTCTCGTTGGCCTCTTTCGAACTGTACCGGTCCATTTTTTACTGTCTGCCCACAAAGGAGTGGATAAAAAAAAAACTGTACAGTTGCATGAAAAATAATAAGTAATTTTCACCCATCTGAAGTAGGAGGTCACATAGGTGCATTTGACATTGTGTAAATAACAAATAACAGCCCTGAATATGCACTTGGGTGAAAAACTACCAACATACACTGAGATAACTCTGGCACAGTGTCAACAATATGGGCATTTACTGACAAGAAACTCGTTAACAATGAGAATAAAAATGTATTTCTCTTTATTCTTTGGTACAACAGCACAGTGTCTGTGTGACAAACCAGCAATGTATGCACCAATGCATTTCAGAAAACAAATTCTAAAGAAGACAGCATTTTAATGGTAGATCTGAAAAATAAATCGTGGAAATTTACTTCTTTTTTATTCTCTGCCAACCATTGCTTGCCTTTCAGGGCTTATCATGAGCCCAAATCCAAAATTTGAGCTCAATGGCTAGAAGATAAGTTCTAAATGTCACATTTAGTTTGGGATTTGACAGGAGAGAGTTTGGTCGGCACCTTTTCTGTTTTGCAGAGGCTAGTGTTATAGTGTGCTATAGGGAGCCACTGCAATCATAGCCTATGACAAGGCTATTCAATTAAGTTTACTCACTAAACAAAATTTTGAAAACTGGGATCATCGCGGACATCACAAGCTAGAAGTTGCAGCTCCAGCATAGAAACATCATTAATACAACAGACTGGTAATGATCCGCGGGCCACTTCTTGCTAGGCCTTTGCGGGCCAGATCTGCCCCACCTATGGTTACAGTGAACGTGACTATCAAGATCCCCTCACGCTAAGAAAGCTCTTCCACAACTGGAGCATGGGATTTCAGGATCACTGTTCTCATCCAAGCTATTTAACGTACTTCTTCTGTATGCTCAGCTGTTAACTGCCAGCATGTTCTTTTCCCTTCTAGACTTCCTTTATCCATGCAACTGCCAACAGCATCCTGTCCGACAAATCAAATACCTGTATCATTCTTGTTCCACTTGCACATATTTCGAATATGTGGTAGAGGACAATCTTAACGTCTTCTAGCCGCACAGGAGATTTTTCATCAAGTTTTTTTATTTTTTTATTTATGAAAAGTGTGCAGAAGTGTATGGGTTAATGCATTTGCAGCAGTATGTGAGAGTTTGATCTATCATCCAGAGAGCATCTGAAGGTCTGAGGCATTAGATTAAGGTGTTTGTTTTGTATTATACTGCAAACTTAAAAGGACCTGAAATTTTGGAGCTTTCTTTTATTTTCATAATTGCAATGGAGTTGAATGTGACTATGAAATAATATTTTTAATGACCAGCCGAAGTGGTAAACAATGGCACAGGCCCAAAATACTGGCATTTCATCATGACTGCTTAGATATGTCAGCTCTAAATACTGGCATTTCATCATGACTGCTTAGATATGTCAGCTCTAAATACTGGCATTTCATCATGACTGCTTAGATATGTCAGCTCTAAATACTGGCATTTCATCATGACTGCTTAGATATGTCAGCTCTAAATACTGATCTTACCATGATTACATGAGCAAGCGAGCGATACTGTATGGTTACAGGCGAGCGATACTGTATGGTTACATAAGCTTCCTAGTGTTCACTTTTGTTTACTGTATTAAGTAAAGGACCATTGTCCCCATCTTCAGGCGTAGAGGGCATAAAGGACTAGACATATTTGAGACCAATCGGCGCTCAGCGGGTGATGTGGTCAAAACCATGCTGGCCACCTTTACTTCCCAGGACTTTACCCACTATCCATTTAAGGCAGTGTCAACCCAGAGCCATGGTTCAATGTTTGAAGAAGTCCAGCTCTGACAGGCTCCTGGACCCCTGACCTTCAGATCCACAGGCAAGTGTCTAGCCACTACACCATGGTTACTAAATTACAAATTCACGAACCTGCCACGACTACATCCAAGTAATTTGATTATGAATTATCAATAGTTCATGATGACAACCACAAAATAAAATCAGACCTAGATTACAACAATGTACTTGGGTACATAAACCTATAGGAATGATGATATTCCGCTAACACGGATGACTCTGATTTTTTAAATACATGAAAGATCAAGCAGAAACCGCCACCATAAATGACACTAAAAAGCCATGCAACTTTTGTAACAATTGTAAGGTTTCTTTTATCGACAACAGTACACAAACAAAATCACGTAGCCATAATTTTGGTGAAATAAGGAAACAAACATACAAGAAGCAAATGAAAGCTAATTTGTTATCCTACTGAATGGGTTTATACAGAAGTGTGGTCACGTATTTTTTCCGGAAACGATGAGTGGCGCTGAGAACCATCACTCCATCCTGAAAATAAAAAAAAATTTAAAAAAGACATACATGAGGGGAAGTCAAAAACTACCTTCACTTTTGTCATAACTCTACATTTTTGACATAACTCTAAATTTCTGACATAACTCTACATTTTTAACATTACACTTTTGACATAACTCTACATTTTTGACATAACTCTAAATTTCTGACATAACACATTTTTGACATAACTCTACATTTTTGACATAACTCTAAATTTCTGACATAACTCTACATTTTTAACATTACACTTTTGACATAACTCTACATTTTTGACATAACTCTACATTTTTGACAAACTCTAAATTTCTGACATAACTCTACATTTTTAACATTACACTTTTGACATAACTCTACATTTTTGACATAAGTCTACATTTTTGACATAAGTCTACATTTTTGACATAACTCTAAATTTCTGACATAACTCTACATTTTTAACATTACACTTTTGACATAACTACATTTTTGACATAAGTCTACATTTTTGACATAACTCTAAATTTCTGACATAACACTACATTTCTGACATAAATCTACATTTTTGACATAACTCTAAATTTCTGACATAACACTACATTTTTAACATTACACTTTTGACTTAACTACATTTTTGACATAAGTCTACATTTTTGACATAACTCTAAATTTCTGACATAACACTACATTTTTGACATAACTCTAAATTTCTGACATAACTCTACATTTCTGACATATCTCTACATTTTTGACATAACTCTAAATTTCTAACATAACTCTACATTTTTGACATAACTCAAAATTTCTGACATAACACTACATTTTTAACATTACACTTTTGAACTACATTTTTGACATAACTCTACACTTTTGACATCTCTTCTTACACTGCCCACACTGACTTCTGTCCTCGCCTATTTATTGTTATACTGTTGTGGTAATGCTATAACAATTTTGACACTAATTCCGCCATTTTTCTTCCTTCTGTTGCAGACAGATCATGGCCGATCCATTAGAAGTCTGGCTTAAAGAGGAACAACGGGCAGTGATATGATTCTTCCTATGTAAATGTGTGTTTTTGTAGATCAGGAAGTTTAACTGTCGTCGAACAAGTGTAACGCATGAAGAGGTCGCTAATTCGCCTCAGACTTCAATGTGAAAAATGCGGTGCAAAAGTGGCTTCAAAACCAACCAAAAACCTTTTATTTGGAATGTATATGTAATCCTGCTTTGCCGTTTGGCATAGTGCACTACTAAGAAGAGAGATTAAGTAGAAAAATGATGTGTTTAGTGTAACCAAAGCTTCACGCAAATAAATTGTAGAATGAAAAGTGTAGATAATTTTTGACTCTTCCTCGTACATTATATCAGGTAATTTATGACACAAATAAAAGGCATGTTCTGAAGATTGCTGAGACAGTTGGAATATTCATGGGCAGCCGCATTTTGGAGTAAACAAAAGAATCACACAATTAATTTAAAGCTGCCCTGATGAAACAATGGACTATATGATTTCTGTAAGTAAAAACAGATTCCATACTGACCAGATAGCCACATTACGCATAAAAACAGAGCAAAGCCTTGAACAGAATTCATCACTTTACACTGAATTCATAGACATCGAAAAAGCTTTTAACAGCATTTATAGGGAATCTATCTGGAAATTGATGGGGCACTATGAAATCCCACAGAAAATTATTAATGTAGTAAAAGCAACATAGAATATGAAATGTTGAGTTCTTTATGAGGGAAAGCTAACTGATACATTTTAAATAAAAACAGGCGTGCAATAGAGATGTCTTTTATTTTTACTGACAACAGACTGGATTACGTTAGCAACTGCTAACACCAGGAATGTAATTCAGTGGACCCCTACAAAACAGCTTGATGATCTGGACTTTGCTGATATTTCTCTTCTGTCCCATTCACACAATCAGGTGCAAGATACATTAAATATACTAGAAGCGAGATAACAACAGCTAGGTCTGAAGATCCCTAAGGAAAAGACAATGAGAATAAATCAGGCACGTAGTAATGTGGGTTTTCTTAATGGTTTCCCACTCTGAGATGTGGCCGTACACCTATCTGAGCAGTAATGTAGATAAAGATGGGGGAACTGATAGAGATTTTAAAATATGAATACAAAAGGCAAGAAAGCTTTCACAGCACTAGGGACTCTGTGCAGGTCAAAAGAAAGTAAAACCAACACTAAACTTAAAATATTTAGTTCTAATGTCAAATCAGTACTTTTGTATGGAGTAAAACATGGAGGACAACGAAGGCAATTACTAATAAATTACAAAAATTCATTAACTAGTGCCTTCGTAGAATAAACAAATTAAATGGTACAATAGAATCACTAACGTAAAGCTTTGGGAGAGAACTGAACAAGTTCCAGTGTACCAAGAGGTGAAGAAAAGACGCTGTCGTGGGATAGAACACATGTTGAGAAAACCTGAGAACAATACAACTAGAATAACTATGCACTGGAACCAACAGGGGAACAGAAAAAAGGAAGACCAAAAACACACATGCAGAAGGCAGCAAGATAGTGGGGAAAAAAAATAGGGCATGTGACAGTGGGAGATAGAACGACTTGGCATGAGTTGGTTGAGGGCCTATGCTCCACTGGGGGGTTAGAATGCAGAATAACAAGAAGTGAAAGGACTCTGTATAGGCTAATGGCTCATAGGGAGGTGGGGGTAGGGTTATGTGGTCATGCTTATGTAATTCCAGGTGTAGATACCAGACAGATACGTACAATATGCCCAGCAAATATCCTGTGCAAAATATTCTTGAATCATTCTTTCATTACTTAAGTGACATTCATTTCTTCTTTTTCTTGTTCTTCGCATTCACTAGCTGTAAACTCTGGCAGAAAAATCTGGTTGTTTTTCCCTTTCTGGATTTTGGTCTTGTTTCAGGCCTCAAATTTTGTGTGCATGTCCGTTTTTTAAAGATCTGGCTTATTTCAGTGCAGGCGGCCAGTTTTTACCTCTCAGAGAGATAAGACTCCAGTCAGTCATCATTTACAATATGCCTGTAAGGAAGCAGTGGGTTAATTCTTTCCTCTCAACATAGGGCACCAGAAAGCACACAAGGAAACATTTGTTTCAAATACAAGACATTATTTCCTGGGACTCGCCTGGGGGGGGGGGGGGGGGGGGGGGGAAGGTGAAGAGGAAGGAAACAGATCATACAGTCTTATATGTCATGGCCTAAAAGGCGTAACGTTGTTGTCATGGTATTACTGCCTCAATAAATGCTATCAAATCTTTACCCTTGGAACGACACTCAAGTTTTACTGTCAATTGTTTAATTGTGTGCCCTCTGCACAATGAAGGCTTACTAGAGTACACATTGCTGTCTGAGAACATTATGAGGGGAGGTTTCAATTTCTTCCAAGGTGTGTCTGTTGCACCCTGTCCAAATCACGAGAGCAGTTACAGTGTCTACTGTCATAAGTAAGTCTGCTATATGACTTTAGCCAGACTAACACTGTTAGTCACAGTATTCTGTCCAATACATTGTTATTATCACTATCCCTTGAGTTGGGCTAACACTGTTAGTCACAGTATTCTGTCCAATACATTGTTATTATCACTATCCCTTGAGTTGGGCTAACACTGTTAGTCACAGTATTCTGTCCAATACATTGTTATTATCACTATCCCTTGAGTTGGGCTAACACTGTTAGTCACAGTATTCTGTCCAATACATTGTTATTATCACTATCCCTTGAGTTGGGCTAACACTGTTAGTCACAGTATTCTGTCCAATACATTGTTATTATCACTATCCCTTGAGTTGGGCTAACACTGTTAGTCACAGTATTCTGTCCAATACATTGTTATATCACTATCCCTTGAGTTGGGCTAACACTGTTAGTCACAGTATTCTGTCCAATACATTGTTATATCACTATCCCTTGAGTTGGGCTAACACTGTTAGTCACAGTATTCTGTCCAATACATTGTTATTATCACTATCCCTTGAGTTGGGCTAACACTGTTAGTCACAGTATTCTGTCCAATACATTGTTATTATCACTATCCCTCGAGTTGGGCTAACACTGTTAGTCACAGTATTCTGACTAATCCATTGTTATATCACCATCTCAATTCATTGTTATATCACCATCCTTTGAGTTAGGCTAACACTGTTAGTCACAGTATTCCGCCCAATTCATTGTCATTATCACTTGAGTTGGGCTAACACTGTTATCACAGTATTCCGTCCAATTCATTGTTATTATCACTATCCCTCGAGTTGGGCTAACACTGTTAGTCACAGTATTCCGCCCAATTCATTGTCATTATCACTATCCCTCGAGTTGGGCTAACACTGTTATCACAGTATTCCGTCCAATTCATTGTTATTATCACTATCCCTCGAGTTGGGCTAACATAAAATATTACTGCTGAATATCACTCACCTTGATGGATAGTGCATACAGGTGGTTTAACATGACATGATTAGGCTCAGGAAGCAGAGATGGTTCAACCTGCAAGTATATGGTAATCAAAGCTGAAGATAGAGCAGCTGCGTGGTTAAATCAGGAATTTACACACACAAAAATCATACAATTATTCCTTCAAGGAATATATTACATAAAGATGCCTTAAAAAAATGTTTGTAAGAATAGTTACCACCTGTTTAAATCGTTGATTTTGTCTTCAAGATTAGATTTATCAATTGGTTGTGACTTTGAAGAAACACCATGTGTTGTGCTTGTAAATTTGTCATAGCTGAAAATGTCCTTGAGTCAGCAGCAAAATGGTACTGTTGCATGATTTCCTTAATGTTTTCTTTGGGATCTGTTCTTGGTCTGCCTTGGGTGCAACTGCTCTCTCTTCTTTCGTTATATGCTTTGTTTGGTATGACACTTTAAGTGGATAAAACCTTTTAATCACTACGTATGGAAATTAGGTTCTATGATGCTTTTCCGACTTTAATTTGAGATTTGCTTTTCTGGTCTCTTCTAAGTCATCTCATTTCTGTAGTTACCTTCACTCCTGTAATGTTGTGAGTGACCATGTTTGGCACTAATAGCTCATGATAGGGATGAATATGCTTGATATGAGTTCAAGTTAGATGTTAGCTGCAGTTCCAACTTCACAGCAAACAGATCACCCCATAACTTCTCCGTTTCTGTATCAATGACAACCACAGAGAATTATTGCCGCTTAGCCTTCCATTGATGGAAGCAGCAGTTACAACATATCAGCAGTTGCACAGGCAATAATAATGCGTTACAACATATCAGCAGTTGCACAGGCAATAATAATGCGTAAGGCACCACCAGTTCTGTAGGAACAGGCTAAACGCCATTTTCTGCATGAGATATTTCTGCTAAATGCTGCAGAAAGACATAACAAACAGTATTTTAATATGCAGTTTACACTATAAAAACAATATAGAAAACTTTGTAAATTAAAAACAAAATCAAGAATAATGACAACAGTTTTAGTGTAACTTACATGGGCTGGTGTGTCTTTATTAAGAATGACTTGTAACAACTGGGGCGGAAGAAATGGGGGCCCACTGTGTTTGCCTTCTGTTGTGCCCCTTGGAGGAATTTCCTGACCATACTCGTTTGACTTGTCTACTGAGAGACATAAAAGTCAGCAATGTCAATGGCAACAGTCCACACATTTCAAATTGTCATCCATTTTTTAAAGATTCAATATACAAAAGACACCAGCACTGCAGCATTGAAACAAAAAAATAATTACACTCTCACAGTGAAACATACTAACAAAGCAAATAAAATACCACAGAATATTGTATTGATTCTGATGAATATGTTAATTACTTCAATAACTGTCAATGGACTCAGGATACTGCCTCAAGTGCCCAGTCTTTCCAAGATAAATCAAACTGTCTGCTCTTGCATAGTTAATTCATGACAATCTATCATAATTTGCAGCCATTATAACCACAAGGCAGCAACATACATAATGTTAATTATAGGTTTTCTCTTCCTTGATATATCTAGGCCATGTTGTCGTGAGTTTCCGAGATATGCTCCCACTTTTTTTTTTGGAGCGACTCTGAAAGGGTTAAAATTTATACCAAAATACTGCTACGGCTAGATGCTTCTTCTGAAAATGTTCACACTAGTGGTGCCTGTTTTTTAAATGTTAATTTGGGAGTGTTGTTACTTCCATTTGTTTGCAGGTGTTTTGCAATAGGTTTTTATTTGCTATTTAGTCTCTGCGTAGTATGTCAATCACCCCCCCCCCCCCTTTTCCACCGCAAATAGTTTTGTCATTAACATAGTTTAAAAATACCCATAATTCAGCAGAAAACAACAAAACTGTATATTTGACTCATGAACTCGGTCAAACTACATTAGGTTTTTTTTTAAATAAATCAAATTCTGTCATGGTAATAGACAAAAGCTGAAGTTGGGGTCAAATGTGAAGTTCTATCTTTAATCCTTTCACCTTGAGAAGCACACACAAAACCACCACTTCTGGTTGGCTCCAATTCCCCATATATGTAACTAGCCTACAGTGGCCTGTTTACTATATTTTTCCCCATTGGCTTGGGTTGTTTCCAGGCAATAGGGTCACATGGTCAAGTGAGTGGCATTTAATAATTAGTTTACAGGATCCAAGAAATGTAAACCAGTTAATTCTATGCTGCATTTGTTTATATTATTTACTCCCCTTACCCTGGACATTAACAAAAGAACACGAGAGAAGACTAACCACCTGTGAAATGAGTTGTTTGAGAATGGCTGCGAATAAAACCAGAAGAGATCGAGTGAGAAACGATGTGATTACAAGAACTATTGGAACCATACCCATCGTTAAATTTATTGAGAAGCAAAGAATGAAATGGTTTGGTCACCTAATGAGAATGGAACCAACGATGCCAGCATCAAAAGCATACAACATGAAAATCGAAACACCAAGAGGCAGGGCAAGACCAAGAAGAAGATGGATTGAAGGAGTCACGGACAACCTGAGACTTCATAACATCACGGCATATGAAGCGACTGAACGCGCCCTGGCTCGGTTGCCGATCATCTGATAGACTGCGACGCCTAGCGGCACAAGCAGATTTTGACAAAAGAAGAAGAAGAAGAAAGACCCTGCATAGTATTTGTTATTGTTGTGGATTATAAATTAAGTTTTGTGCTGTCTGTGTGTGTTATATGTATAAAATGGTTTGTTTTTCTAAGGATTCTTTCCCCTGAAATATAAAAAAAATCTGAAAATATAGAGGCTTGTTTTTTTTCTCTCCTAGGTCATGAGAGTAGAAGGGATAATTAGACACAAACTGGCTACCAGTTTGAAATGTTAAAACTCACCCTTCTTGCTGGCTGCCCTTCCATCTATGGCTAAGGCTTCGAAAGCATCGAAGTCAGACCGCCTCACAGTCAGGGTGTTGTTCTGTGTCCCAATATCACTACTAGTCATAGGCTGAAACATTCACACAAGTGCAGTACTGCAAAATATCACAGCCTGACAAGCAATCAAACTAACACAAGAAATCTGAGAACAATCATTAAAAAAAAAAAATATATATATATATATAGAAAACCAAAACAATTAATAAACTACAACATTCCCTGATGTCTGCGCAGGACAGAGAGCATTAAATTGTATGATAGAATCACTAACGTTGAGCTTTGGAAGAGGAAAAAATGCAATTGAATCAAGAGGGGAAGAGAAGACAGATAGTACATACACTGAGAAAGCCTGAGAACAATATAACTAGAATGATTTTGCACTGGAACTAACAGTGGCGTAGACATAAGGGCCCCCCCCCCCTCCCCAACACACACAAAACTGAGAAAAGAACTAGTGAGAGAAAAGAAAAGACAGCGAGAGCGAGGACATGTGGTCAGCTGCATGCAACAGCAAAGGATAAGATGACTTGGTGAGAGTCAGTCAAGGGCCTTTGCCCCACTGGGAAATAAATGGCAGAAGAAGATAAAGAATCACTACTACACAGCCAAAAACTGCTATCACATCTCTGAAACTAAATCATAATAACTATTTACTATTCCTCATGCTTGCCAGGTAGCTTTAACTCTTTCGGTACAATAGGAAAGTTAGGGAAGTTATAAATTAGCAGATGATGCATTTCTTGGCATCCAAACAGTTAAAAAGCCTTATATTTGGGGTGGTCTGGTCTGTGGCAAGTGTTCACGCCATTTGCCTCGCGCTCTGAAGGTTGTGGGTTCTTTTCATGGCGGCGCCATTCAGTTCACGGGTGTGATTTTTATGGCAATCCCTGGTGACTGTCGCCAGAGCTACGGAGGTCGTGCTGTGTGCGTTAGCTGTTCTGCTGAGAGAGACTGAGTCATGTGGGATAAAACCCGGTGCAATGAAGTTGATCACTTTACCTTTACATTTAGAGGACATGCTGGCCAGATGTCTTGTACCCCTTCAATAAATCAAACCACTTACTGTACTGGGGCTGAACAATTGTGCCTGTGGCTTGAAACAAGAATCCTGAAAGTTTAAACATCTACCTCTTTGAATTTGCATGAAATGATCCCTACATTTTACTGTAAATATGTTGCACATCAGTGATGGTGAGGGCATTTGAGGTTTTCATTTTTAACAGATTTCAGGTTACGAAAATGTGCATGTGTGTGCAGGGATGTAGGGTTTACAAGGGTTGTGGCATCAGAGGACAGAGAGACTCTGTTCAACTGTTAAGTTCTATAAGGGTCCCCCGGAACAACCAGGGTAGGGCTTCAAATTAAATAAAAAAAGTGTCCCACATGGGGACCTGGATTAAGGAAAGGCACTGGAACACTTACAGAGACATCCAAGTGCATAAGAAGTGAACAGAAGAGGTGAAGAAAAGATGCTGGTACTGAATAGGACACATGTTGAGAATCCCTGAAAATGATGCAACTTAACTGTCTTTACATGTAGGGGCACAGAAAAAAACAAAAAACATGGAAAAGGCAACTAGACAGTGAAATGAAAAGGATGTAGGTGCAAAAGGATAGAACGACTTGGTGACTCGGTGTGAGTTGGCTGAGGGTCTGTAAAGTTATAGTTGAGAGAATCAGCTTCACAGCACCAGGTTTTTACCCATATGGCTCGATCTATCCTCCTTGCCAACAGCACAGCACAAAGCATGAATTCCATAGCTCCAGCAACAATTCCCTAGGGATCACCATAAAAACCTGCCCTTGTGAATCAAGTGATGCAGCCGTGACAGGAACCCATGACCTTAGGAGTATGAGGTAAACAGCTTGACCACTCACTTCATTACGGAGACCATCCGCTGCCGGCCTGTGCTCCGCAGAGGAATAAAGGCCAGAAGAATAGAAGTGATACTCGTGTAACCATGCTAAACTAGAATGTCACAAAACTAAACTGTGACGAAATTAGACTTTCACAAAACTAGACTGTCACAAACCTAGACTATCACAGTAAAAGTGTAACTTACATCATTGGGTGAGTTCATCCACTGGCCGTCCACATAAAACTTGTACTGGTGTTCCCCTTCTGGCAAGTCAATAATGGTGTAAAAATCTCCCTGGCTGAAAGTGAATCAGGTTATATGGTACAGCAATATAAAAAATACTGAGATGGAAAAGTGAAATACTGAGACAGAGGGCAATAAAACAATCAGACAGAGCGTATAACAATGGCATATATGATTACAATAATGACAGCACTGACATACGAAGACAGAGTGCACTAAAACAATGAGACGAGCATATAACAATGGCATATATGATTACAATAATGACAGCACTGAAATATGGAGATAAAGAAATGAAATACTGAGACAGAAAAGTGAAACACTTGGACAGAGAAGGTAAATACTAAAGATAAGTGGAATACTAAGAAAAGGAGCAATGAAACAAAGGTAGAAAATATTATTTAGATCCCCACTGCCATCATACATTATACATCTTACATTTTTACCTATGTGACTTATGACCTATGTGACTTATGATGACCTATATGACTTGTGACCATAAACAAGAAAATGCTTATAACATAGGGTAAAAAAAAGTTCCCAGAAATGATGTCTATAGTCTACAAAGATGCCTGCGTATATTAATTATACATACACTTCTGGGAGACTGAAGAAATACCAGCAGACTGGAGAGAAGGATATCCAATGAAACTGCCCAAAAAAGGTGATCTACAGGAGTGTGAAAAATATAGGGGAATTATGTTGCTATCAGTTCCTGGAAAAATATTAAGTATTAAGATTAGAAGATGCTTTGATAAAAAGCTAAGAGATGAACAGGCAGGTTTTCGGTCAAACAGATCCTGTACTGACCAGATAGTCACATTACGTATTATAATAGAGCAAAGCATTGAACTCACCACTTTACATTGGATTTATAGACTATGAAAAAGTGGTTGACAGCATTGATATGGAATCTCTCTGGAAATTGATGGGGCACTATGGAATCCCACAGAAAATTATCAACTTAGTAAAGGCAACATACAAAGACATGAAATGTCGAGTTCTTCATGAGGAGTAGCTAACAGATACATTTGAAATAAAAACAGGTGTGCGACAGGGATGTCTTTTGTCGCCTCTCTTATTTTTACTGGCTATAGACTGGATTATGACAACAGTAAATGCTAACACCAAGAAAGGAATTCAGTGGACCCCTACAAAATAGCTTGATGATCTGGACTTCGCTGATGATATTTCTCTTCTGTCGCATTCACAGAATCAGATGCAAGATAAATTAAATATACTAGATGCGAGATCACAGCAGCTTGGTCTGAAAATTTATAAAGGAAAGACAGAGATGGGAATAAATCTGGCAAATAGTAATGTGGTTTCCCTTAATGGCACCCCACTCCAAGACGTGGAGTCGTACACCTATTTGGGCAGTAATGTAGATAAAGATGGATGATCTGATAGAGATATTAAAATAAGAACACAAAAGGCAAGGGGAGCTTTCATAGCACTAGGGAATTTGTGGAGGTCAAAACAAATTAAAAGAAATACTAAACTAACAATTTGTTAATTCTAATGTCAAATCAGTACTTTTGTATGGGGCGGAAACATGGAGAACAACTAAGGCAATTACTAATAAACTACAAACATTTATTAACTGGTGCCTGCGCAGAATAGAAGGAATTAAATGGTATGATAGTATAACTAATGTACAGCTTTGGGAGAGAACTAAACAGGCTCCATTGGACCAGGAGGTGAGGAAAAGACGCCGGCATTGGATAGGACACACACTGAGAAAACAGGAGAACAACATAACTAGAATGTCTTTGCATTGGAACCCACAGGGGCATATGAATAAAGGAAGGCCAAAAAACACATGGAGAAGAGAGCTGGAGAATGAAGTTAGAAAGATGGGAAGGACATGGGGAGAGCTCCATGCAATGGTGAAGGGCAGAACGACTTGGCGTGAGTTGGTTCAGGGCCTATTAAGAAGACACAGACTGCATTTCTGTTTCATGTACGATTTTCATAAAACGTCTGAATGAAAATGGTTTAGAAAAATATAATTTGACCTATGACCAGTTTGACTTATAATCAGTTTGAACAGAATTGGTCATAAGTTGAGATAGGAGTGCCGCCGCGGTGTAGTGGCTAGACACTAGTCGCGGAAGTTCATGGATTTGGGTCCTCACAGAGCCGGACTTTAAAAAAAACTGACCTTGGCGTTCCGCTCGAAACAGTCTTTACCAGGTAAAGTCCTGGGGAATAAAAGCCCCCAGCGTGATATTGACCATACCATCCACCGAGTGCCAGCCAACTGGTCTATAAAATATGAGTCTAACTCTATATGCCCAATACACCTGAAGGTGTGGAAAAGGGTCCTCTATTTACTATCTGAAGTAGGAATTCACATGTGTGCCTTTGGTATATATTGTAAAGTGACCAATAACAACCCTAAAATTGAACTTCGGTGAAAAACCCCCAAAGTGCACTCAGATGGTTTCGGCATAGTGCTAACAATACATATATTCATGTAATATGACACACACACACACACACGTACAAAAAGATCAAACAGGCAGACTGACCAAAGACTCTCATACCTTCTGGCCAATGGAATCTTGGATTTCCAATTATTGAAAGTGCCAGTGACATAGACGTCTTTACCCCCACCTTCCCATTTGAAGACAGTGGGTAAAAGCCGGCTGGTCGTCCCATGGCTCATTTCCTGGCCTGGGGTTAAAGTGCTGGCTCTCTGACGCTGCGGAAAAGAATACAATCATGAGAATTTCAAATCATTTATAGTTTTATTCACCATTTGAAATAAAGAATGTCCAGTCAGACAAATCAAAACTATTACAAACTTTGTTTCTAGCAATTACTGCTAAAATTTTCTTCTTCCTCGCATTTACCGGCTGTGAACACCGGCAGAAAGTTCTGGTTGTTCGACCACCTCTGGATTTTTAGTCTTTTTATTCCAGAACCTGAGTGCTGCGTGTGCATCTGTTTTACAGATATGACTCCTTTGCATGCTGCTGTTGGTTCCTTGCCTCTCAGGCAGGTGCACTATGACTTCCAAGGAAGCTCCCAATTAGTCGACTCTTACGACATTCTTTTGGGTAGGCACTGGGTCTATTCTTGTTTTCTCTACAACAGGGCCCCGGAACCCACATGGGGAATTGCTAAAAAAATGGACGGTCAGCCGGAAAAATTATACGGAAGGTGCGGAGAAGGTTTAACTGGCGAATGATAATAAAATCAAGGACAGATGAAAATAGTCAAGAAGAAGTCCTGAAAGAAATGAACTCAAGACCTGATAAACTGCATTAAGAGGAAACAATCTACATTCTTTTGTCGCATCATGGAAAAAGGAAAATAATACATTAGGACAAAATGAAAGTCTGAACGGAAGAGACCAAGAGACAATATGCTGGATAACTGGCACCATGGCATGGAGGATCACCTATTTCCTAAACTAATGAAAGTGCATGAGACAGAAGTTTGTGGAAAGAAATGATTGTTAACACCATGTGACGTACTATAAGAAGAACTGTTCCTAACTTACACAGGATGGTTTTGCAAATACAAAATACACCTGCCATAAAATCAGTGATGAGTTTGGGCATAAAAAATGTATGAAACAGTTAATCTGCAGTCCCCTTGTGACCAATCAACGCACTCCTGGTGCAATATTACTAGAGCCCAGACAAGTCTGACCTTTCATCAGACCCCTTGACCTCCTTCTTTCACTACATTTTTCTAGCTTTCACACAATTACTTACTACTTTAAAAAAAAAAAGTTTTCGCTCTTTAGAATTGCTTGAGAATCAAGCTGCTACAAATTCTGGAAACCATGTTCGGCCGTATAGCATATTTATGCTGGAGTATTAAAACAAACAGTTATGTAGTGACCTGTGGTCCAGTGTGTGTGTGGGTAATGATTGCCGAGTCTTCTACCTGTGCAATCTAAGACTTTCCTCTTATCAGTTCATGATTTCAAATACATTTAGGGCTTCAATATGTTTTTTTTTTTCCCAACAAATTTATCTTCCGAATTTGTCAACAACCATCTCCAACATACCTGACCATTCACATCTTACAACCATCTGCATTTTAACACACATCACTATTTTTGGTTTCCTAAAGGCACATATATACATATAATAAAATGAAACAACCTGTGACACAGTAGGTCAGGAAAATGCTGGTAAGACTGGAAATAAACTTGCTGCAAATACACAGCAATTTAGAAAACCTACTCACCCCACAAAAAGACTATCTTTATCAGAGAGTTAGAGAGCAGAGAGAGGGTTGGAGAGCAGCAGAACGTTCTGTGAATCTCTTGTACGTTCCCCTTAAAAGGCTGGCTGGCACACTGTATTATGGTTTACACAAAGGTTGCCATATCTTCCCTTTTCATCCCAATTTCAGAAAATCTTAAATCAGTCATATTGTATGCCATGCTTTTTAAAGGGACAAAAGGTCCACAGAAACCTACATGGGAAGTTCTATGAGTTTCAGCTGTAACATTGTATGAGGTTAAAGGTACACCCGCCACTTGTACCATTATATGAGAATAGAGGTTTGAGTTTTTGAACAATGGTTCAACATCATGGCACACAGGTAGTAACCCATAGGTTCTCTGTTCTCTTCTTTAAAATCAAGCCTCAGTACAAAGAAGCTCAGCACAGTGCACAGGCTCTGTAGCACCGGCGAGGATCCTGAAATACTTTGGGTCGATTTTCAACTCAAAATGTTGCCCGGGCAGCGCAGTTAGGCTACTCTTTTCGACTGCCAACTGCCAAGGGATTTTGTTATGTGTGCAAAAATGCACACGGGCATCCGATCTCACTACTCAGAGTCACAGTATACGTGAAAAAATCCCAGCCCAGAACCTCTAGGCATCTTGGTCAAGTTGGCTGAGAAGTAAGAAACAACAGTTGGCACACAAATAAGCCAGATACGTTAAATCAATGTTGCTCAACATTTTTACACCCACGACCCCCCCCCCCCAAACAGTGCACATTGTTTCGCGGCCCACCTGACAGCTAACCAAACACACACACACAAAGATTGCAGTTTATTTATCAAATCAGAAACACAAAATTACAATTCACAGCTAATGCAACACCTGCTGCTGCCGCTGAAGAGGTTAAAAAATCTCATACATGTGGCAGGAGCGTTGTTTTTATATCTGAAGTGCTACATCCATTTAATTTCTCTGTTTAGTTTTTTGTTGTTGTAATGTTTTTTTGTGGCTGAACAGGGTATTCTGTGATTTGTACCTGTTTTATTCTCATCCCTGAGGTGTTAATCTTACAGGCAGCAATTGTGGAAGAGTAAAACGATCTACCTGACGCCGTTGCACAATTAAAAATAATTATTTGGCAGTCCACCTGGACTTTTCTGCAGCCCACCAGTGCACCGCACCATGGCCCAGTGGTTGAAGAACACTGTGTTAAACAGATATGCACGCAAAACAAGTCCTGGAACACGACCAAGGACCAGAAGTGGATGAACAACTAGAACTTTCTTCTAAAGTTTACAGCCAGTGAATGTGAAAAAGAAGGTCATATTTTATTAGTCCTCCAACTTTTTAAATAAATATCGGGCACCTAAAGTTAATATCACACCGGGCATATTTAGGTCTCATATAATTTATAATTTCCAGATATCAATTTTAGGCTCGGGTGATCAGGGAAGCCCACTTTAATGAGGATTCAAAATGCAGACCACTGTGCAGGCAAGCAATTGTGCTATCTAGGTGCTACAAACTTGAGTATCCTTTAAAACACACTGGCAAGTATAAATCTCTTCTGACTACAGTGAATGAAGACAAAAAATGCAGTGGTACGGACATATAATAAGATCTAACGGCCTCTCAAAAACAATACTCAGCAAAGGGATTAGGCACAAGAGGCAGATCAAGGAAGTATCGCTATAGAACTCGACAGGTATCAGGCATGCAACAATGATGAATTCCACTGCATCTGACCGTCAAAAGTGGAGACAGCTGATCATAGTCAACAGAAACTGGTGACCCAACAGACAGCGCTACAGGGCGACCAAAATGATATCCTTGCAGTCTTGCTATTAACACAAAGCTGGACTTTTTACAATCATTCTTAATAAAAAGAAAGAAACAATCAAACATGCCTAACTGAAATAAAATAAACTGAATGCAGATAACAGAAACATGAAAGAAAACAACAAATGGAAGCTTTGATGATGAAAACCACAAAAATACTGACCAACGTTTTTCATTTCAACTATAAACTAAATTATCAAAAAGTTGTAGACTGTTTCACTGAGTGACATGCTTATAGTGACCCATCGTGGTTTGCAGTTGCACTAAAGTTAATCCCCAATTGGATGAACTTTGTCCTAATTATGTCAGTCGACAAAGACAATAGTAGAGGCAATCTTTGAATGCTCCTTTCGCTTATTTTGTCTATTAAGCTTGTCAACTTGACTAGGTTTGAAAGCTACTTTTAACCTTATAACATATGCCCCTCCCCAAATCCTAACTACATCCTGATTTCTTGGGTTAATTCCAGCTTTATTGAGCTTCTCTGTCTGCTTAATGGCCAGGTTTATATGCATACAACAGTGCAGCTATATATTGCACGCTATTCTCGCTGCTTTCAAATTAACATTCTACACCAGTGATTCCAAAGTAGCTAAGATCTCCGGACCTGTTTTATTTTCGGCATCAACTACAGACCCCATATTTGTTAACAGCTATATTAAAGAACTGGGAGCCCCAGTGGTGTAGTGACTAGATGCTCACTTGCGAATTGGAAGGCTATGAGTTCAGGCCCTGACGAAAGTGGACTCTTTAAAACAGAAAAATGTTCTAACTCTCAGGTCGACCCAGTTTTAAAGGGGTACCAGGTAAAGTCCTTGGAAGTAAAGGCAGGTGGCATGATGCTGACATCACCCACCGAGTGCACATTGGGCTATAAAATACAGGTCTAGCCCTATATGCCCAATATACCTGAAGGTGTGAAACAAAACGTTTCACTTACTTTATATTGAAGAACTTATAATACAATATTAGCATCGCAGAAATATTGTATTCTAAAGTTGAGGGTTTGGGAGCGGGGTAAATTCTTGCTCCCAAAAATAGAAATAAATAAATTAATATAACAAATTAAAAATTACAAACAATTCTGAACAAACACCACCGAAAAGAAAAAAAACACCAATAACAAAAGCCAATTTTGTTTAACAAATAAAAAAAAAAGTATTTCCCCTCTCACCCTGTAAATGCATACAAAATGTGGGTCACGAACAAGTGGAAATTCCCAAGAGAATGAGAACACAATTATTTTGTGTTTAAGATATGAACAAAAAGCATGTAAAAGGACTGCAATACCATTATGCTATAAAATGAACAGTAACGAATATCCTCATGTTAAACTTTAAACAAAAAAGGTGGGATGAGGGGGGAATTCATGGAAAAATTTTACTATATTTTAATTAGCCTCAATTGGTACTTTTCATGACATACATGTCACCCCCCTCTTCGTGAAATTTTTTTTGGGCATCTCTTTTGGTGCCAAGTAAGCTTCACATTATGTGTGAGCCTATAAAAGCATGACACAGAAGGAGTTGAAGTGGTTCTCAACTGTCCTAATGCTGCGACCCTTTAATACAGTTCCTCATGCTGTGGTGACCCTTTAATGCAGTTCCTTATGTTGTGCCCCCCCCCCTCCCCCCAACCATAAATCATATCACTAGATACTATCAAATACACTG